ATATATATATATATATATACACCGAGCAGTAAGTCAGAGTGTATCGCTCGGTATACTCGTATCGTACCATATCGAGCTGATCTCGATATTCCAGTACGGTACGAAATTGCGAACCTTGGCTATGATGATATTGTTTTTAATCCCAGCTCATTATGAGATGTTCCATGTGTTGGAACATCAGAGAACTGACATCATGAACAACATCTGAGCAAAATTAAGTTTCCCTCCTACCTCCTATGTTTAACCAAATTTCTATGTTTTATTAGGATCTTTTTTCTTTTTGGATCTGACCATTAGTCTTGTTTTGCTTCCCAATGATGCCTCTGTTAACCATGCTAATGCTGAAATGCTCTGAAGGAATTTTGTTTCTTATTCTGAGGGGGTACTTTGTTCTTTTACTTTTTGTGTGGCAGGAGCTGCAAATAATGCAGTTACTGTCACCTATCTTGTTAAATTTGGCTGTGATGGAAGGTGGCAGCTTCATCACAATCATGGCATTGACATGTAATATTTCAACATGCTTTTGGTCTTGAAATGTTTGTACTAACATCACAATTGCCCATGCAATGATGATATTGTTTTTAAACCCAGCTCATTGTGAATCTTCCATGTGTTAAGCCAAATTTCTTATCATTTTCATCAGGAATTTTTTCACTTTTGGATCCGACCTTTAGTCTTGTTTTGGTTCCCAATGATGCCTATGTTAACCATGCTAATGCTGAAATACTTTGAAGATAATTTGTTGTTTGACCTGAGGGAACCCTTTTCTTTTTTCTTTTTTCTTTTTCTTTATGTGTGGCAGGAACTGCAAATAATGCATTTACTGTCACCTATATAGTTATATGTGGCTGTTACAGTAGGCGACAGCTTCATAACAATCATGGTATTGACATGTAACATTTCAACATGCTTTTGGACATGAAATGTGTATACTCATGTTGCATGCAGTGATGATATTGTTTTTAATCCCAGCTCATTGTGAGATCTTCCATGTGTTGGAACATCAGAGAACACACAATATGAACAATATCTGAGCAAAACTATGCTCCCTCTTGCCTCCTGTCTTAAAGTCAAATCATTTCTCTATTTCATTTGGAGGAGATTATATTACTGGAACAATGAACCTTAATAGTATCTCTCTTTGCTTATCACAGAACCAATGTTCTTGAAAATTGGAAAGACTAGGTTTCGTGATTAGTATTCTGTTGCAATTTTTCCTGCAGTTCTCCATTTTGGGTTCTTTTTGTGTTTTGAAGGAAGATGCATTTTCTCAAGTCTTTTTTGGCTCCGATTAGCATCATGTGTAACTTCATTTGGGTTTATATACCTTGAGAATTGAGCACGAATGAGCTTTTTTGTTTTGAAGGAAGATGCATTTTCTCAACTCTTTTTGCTCTGATTAGCATCGTGTATAGCTTCATTTGGGTTTTATATACCTTGAGATAATGAGAATTTTAAGGAAAGAACGTATTAAATTTTGATTTAGGCAATCATTACTCCATATTTCTTGATCAAGCTTAATCTGTTCGTCCCCAGGTTCTCTTGAGAGGCCCAAAGAATGCCAGGGAAGCTGTTAAACATTTCGGTAAAGCTCCTGGCGTGCCACACAGCCACACAAAGCCCTACGTCCGCTCCAAGGGGAGGAAGTTTGAGAGGGCCAGAGGAAGAAGAAACAGCAGGGGTTTCAGGGTCTAAGTCAGCCAAACCGATGTTCTTGACCCACTATCTATATCATCTCTTAGTATGTGTTAAATCTCAACCTCACAAGGATTTCTTGCGCTTCTTATCAACCTGAATCGATCCGACTTTGATGTTTGTTGACTTCAAATGAACTGCATGTGTTTTTGGCCCTGGTGGTGGTAAACTGTGCAACATGGCTTTCTTGTATTTTTGATTTATCATCTGAATCATTGGCTTCCATGGTAGATGATTTCAATTGAGTTGCATTTGTTTATAGTTCTATCCAGATGAATCACAGGGTACATTGTAATCACATAACGATTTCAATTGACCTTTCAGCTGGAACACATCGGTCGAGATTGGCATCGGAGAATATTGTGTGCATTCATTAATTACTTGTTACTTGTGATGGATTCATATATTATCTTCAGAAATTAATTATCATTTTTATATTTTTGAAAATTATATTAAGTTTTTTTTTTATATTTATAAAAGTAAAATATTAATTTTTTTATATTGTTGTTTCTGTTGTTAAAAATATTGTAAGATTTATCAGTATGAGTTAATTTTTATTTTAATTTATCACTGGAAGTATAAGGATTTTAATATAATCATAAAAATGAAGTGTTAAAAGATAATTAATTATAAAAATTAATATATAATCGTCACACATTAAAAGTCAACTCACTGAAGAGTTTATGTTATTATTATTATTATTATTTTGCTTTAGGCATTAATTACATCATCTCTATTAATTTTTTTTCCTGAAGGAAGACAAAATCAAGCCGTTGACTGGCAAAGCAACCACGAAAGTTAATGGGGGCAATTGCATACCGAAACACCATTAAGTGTTAATGTTTGATACACTACTGGTATACAAAAATATGAACTTTATTTCAAATCATGAAAGCTTAATACTATCTTAGTATGAGCTGAAGAGTGATAATTTTAAGATCAGCTAATAGATGCTGATTGTTGATGGTTCCAAGACTCACACAAACCTTTGACTCTCCTCGTTAACCTTCCAGATGATGGTTTCATTCAGGGCTTTAAACCAAACTAACTCTTGAAGGAGTGCATCTTTGAATGCATACAAACATGGATTGATCTACAACTCAATGAATCAGAAACAGGACTTTATAACAATTATAATATTGACATGTCAAACTTGCTCAGGACTTTCTTTTCATCTTTATGGCTGATTTGGAAGGATAGCTGCCCTCATGTTTTTATAACAATTATAATGATCCTGCTACATTAGCAATCACTTTCTAAAATAAACATGAACAGGATCCCCTGGCTGTTGTATTTGTTCTTGCCATGAATCATCTCAGGCTTGGCAAACTACAAATGTGCATGATGTCCCAAGGGATCCACCCAAGAATACATTCTTTACAAGGTAACTTGGTTCATAACAGCAGCTTTCGAGTAAAGTTGATCCTCATTTACAGTTTATAGTTACACCTGGAGAAGAAGAGGCAGTCTGAGTGAATGTACAGTGTTTACAAAGGAAAATTTACAAGAGGAAGAAGACCTCCTCATCTACCAACAACCTAAACATACTTGAATAGCTGGCCAGCCCGAGGATCATCAACGACAACTATGGAATATGAACTACAAGGAGGATATTTTTCCTGTAACAGGCATACACAACAACCACAATATACAATTCGATCTTGCATCGTCGATTGACTGTGGAGAGCATCACGTGAAGGGGATTAACATAATGAAGACTCCTGCCATCTGCCACTTCATTGAGGAAGACAGATCGAAGGATGGGAGTCCAGGAATGCTCTCCTCCAACAACAGGTGTGGGTTAATGATCCAGCACTTTGGTCTAGTCATGTTGCTGCAAAATTAGGTTCAGCATAACAACAGTTAAGTCTTCAAAGTAGTGACAGGCTGATGCTCATTAAAGCAGGTGAAACATGAATAAATCATTTTAGGAAATGCTCATTAAAGCAGGTAAAACATGAATAAATCAATTTAGGAAACATGGAAGCTAGAAGACTTGTCAGTACATTCACAAACCCCGGCTTGTTCTATGCACGAGGGTCTGTGAGACTCGAGAGCCCTATTTCAAGAAGACATAAGCAGGCAATGGGGATTCACACACTACTACATGATGACATCAGAGTTTAAATAAAATTTAATCGAAGTTGAAGCACATCAAGTAATCCAAGTATGTGTCAACTGTCAAGCCTCCGTTATATTATAGATATATCAATGTTTCTATTTAAATTACTGATAAACAAAGCAGAGCGAATATATAAACCAAAGGCAATGGAAGATACAATTCTCATACATCAGTAGGATCAGACCACTGGAAGTCCTGACATTGCAAAAATAAATATAATTCACCATGCATTAGTGTAATCCCATCATTTGAAGCTGCAATTTTACCAGTTATAATATGAATAATAATAACGATAGTAGAAGATAATTGGTTTACTGGTTCTTTAATATATTTGATTTTTGGACACAAGAAGAGGATTAGGCATACAAAAAGGAAGGAGTGTGAGAGCTTCCAACTGCAGAATGTAAAACTGAATGAAAGAATATAAATTAGGTGTCCTGATTGACAGTAGAGATGTCCTAATAAATTCTAACTTATCTGTCTCACACTTGGTGCACAAATAATGCCTACCATTCACTTTGCACATCATGAAAAATCACAATCCAGACTAGAAATGTCCCAAGTCCCAAAGGCTGTCATGATCCAAGAACCAACACTTACAATAAGGGGTGCAGGGCACGCTTCTTAGACTATGGTGCATGGCAAGCCCTGGAACCCTTTTGTGAGTGTTGATACTTGGGACCGAACAAAACCTTAAAACATAGTTGCCAATGTTTCTGGTTGCAATTGTAATTACTGTTACAATTATGGTATTGTAAGAAAGATATAAAGATCTTCAAAAACTCACTTGGGTGTATGACTGCTCGTCATACATTGAAACACCACATGTTGCAGATGTGGAAGCCCAATTCTGGAAGCTAGCATCAAAGTGATTCACTTGGTAATCTATAGTGCTTTCCTGTAAACTATTTTCTGCATCAGGTTTGAATGTTCTTTCACTGACCAAATTCTGACAGTAGGACTGGTAAGGATACTGTCCTCCTAGCTGTAGCCTTAAACATGCATTTGGGCTATATTCATGCAAGGATCCCTCTTGTACTTGCTCATTGGCATCTGTCTGTTCACCCGTGCTGAAGTAAGCATTACAATTTTGAAGAGGTGTGTCTGCCGAGCATCCAATATCTCTAGAAAACAAAAATATCACACCAATCATTGTATAAGAATTTGGACAACTCTGGACTTTACTAGAATCAAGTGAAGCTGGAAGCTCATGGTGATGATATACATGTAGTTAAAGGTTTAAACTACCACTTTTCAGGATAAATGGGTCAGTTCAGTTGCTAGTGGCCCTACAATGTGACGAAAGTTAGTGCAATAAAATTGACTTCCTAGGTTAGGATTAGGCAAATAAAAATAGAACAAAGAATATAAAACTAATTGTATCTCAGAAATAACAACAATCACTTAATAAATGAATAATGATACAAAGCAATTATATTGCCTTCTCACCTCTGAGATAGCAAATTAGAATCTTGTGGAAGCATCAATTGCTGGCCATCATTGTTATGAAGCCATGATACTGGTGAGGCTCCTTGCTCATAGTTAAATCCCGAGTGTAGATGTATGTCATTCTGGAACTACAAAAGTTCATCAGCTTGTTTTCGTTAATGAATATACATGCAATTTACCCTTCCATAGGGCAACGAATGACCACAAAAAGTCATCTTACCTGGCCACAACAGTCCACAGAAATAAGTTGCCTTCCAAAGTTCTCCTGTCAAAACAAAGAAAGTGAAGCACTTATAATGGGAAAACTAAAATAGCACATGAATATAAGAGTAGATGTTATGTGATTTATGTCCTGACCAACAGATACCATTACGTTAACTAATTAAAAATTACAATCATGCATCAATAATTCCAAAATGTGTTGTTACCTTATGTGCCTGGATTCTGCTGAGAGATTCCTTGAGAGATTGTTCCATAGCCCTAATATGGTCTATGTCACTAATTTCATCTGGGTCAGCCCAATAACTGAAAAGGAAAAACGAAAAAATGTTAAATGCATAATGAGCTAGATTAGCTAATTCAATCCTAAACTTGTCTTCCAGCAGCATTTCTTATTATATTACTTGAGAAATGACCAGAAGAACTTGTATGCACATCATCTTTTAGTTTACAATTTTTTGATAGGAAACCAAGTTTGCAGACATAGCAAATTGTAGATCAATACCTAATATGAATGGCATGCAATCATCCATATGAACAAACAAATGTCATTCAATAAATAAAAAGACTTGGAAAAGCCAGTTCTGCAGTTGCTGATTCCAAGTTCATTAGGATCCTGGTCAGGCAGCTGCCATAACAATGATCTTAAAGAAATTGTTTAATCATACACGATACACCACGCAGAAAGAAATTGTTTGGTCTTAAAGAATATCTTCTAAATTTTACAACTTAAGGACAACAACAATGGGCAAAGACAGGTATACTTCTGCTTCTGTCTATGATTCCTTTTCTAATACCCAGCCTCTCATCGCAGCCTCTAGCTTTGAATCCTTTTCAGGTATAACATAGAACTCATAGATCCAACTACTTGAAGTGAGCTAATGGAATCACTAAAGGTAAAGAGTGATGTCCCACACCACCTGCTTAATGCATCAAGATGAGACCATTAAACTGCTCAAAGCACAACTGTCTTTGAGGCAGTCTCTCTGAATTTATACTAATTTTTTTCTTCCTAAGTTGAGATTATGAGACCAGTGCCATTCTTTATTTTAGAATACTTCTCAAACAAGCTATATCTCCATGGGACATCTTTAAGTTGACCATTATATCCATTAAAAGTGGCTTTCTAAATTTAGGGAAAGGTCATGAGAAACAAAACTCATTCTCTTGATCAGCATGGCTCATTCTAAAATGACTAACCCACATCAGCAGGATATTCCATCAACAATTTTATTATTCCTTGACAGTGGAGAAAACTTGCTGCAGCACATTTTTCAGACTTGCATAACTAAAGCATCTGCAACTTACCACTATGAAAAACACAGTATATCATGTTTAAAACAAAAAAGTAACTACTCCACGGCATCTGATTTGAGTAATGTGAAAAATAGAGAAAAAAATGATAATCGAGAACAAGAGTATAGCACCTTAGTCTTTTTTGTACATCTAATAGTTGACCATGCAATGAACCTAGGTAACTAGCCAGCTCCTGCATTAGGAGTTTTAACAAATAACCGGAATATCAAAAAGTGTTACAGGTATACTAATTGAAAATGATGATGCAGTGGGAATTGTGATATGATAAGTACCTCAACTGTCTGGGTGCTGCAAAGAAAAGAAAGAAGAACATAAGAAACTTGGAACAGTTTGCAACATATCCCAATTATACAAAATCACAGGTACCTTGGACCAAGGAATTCTTGAATATTAACATCATGGTCCAACTTCTTGAATGTCTTCTTGAGAGCCTAGAAGAAAGGGACATAAGTTTTGGAAAGCATGTAACAATGATCCTCAGTTGCTTGAATTTGAAACCATCTAACAAAGATGGAATGATCATACTCATATACTGATTACTGCAGAATGATGAACAAACTTACTTCAAGGCTCTCCAACTTTCTGTTAAAATTGCAAAAGAAAGAAAGGTGACATCAAAAGGGCATATAATCTGTATAAAAAACAGATCCAAAAGCCAATGAGGATTGCAGCAGACCTTTTTGCCCTTTCTTGTTGGGATACTTGAGAAAACCTAGCAACAACTTCCTCAATGTTGCTGTTAGACAAAAGAAAAAGAAACTGAGTAGAAGTTCTTGTAAAGAAAAAGTAAATTGTGGGAGGCTAATTCAACTATTATCTTTTTCAAAGGTCACCATTGTATATAACAGAAAGATGGTTCTGCAACATCTATTTCCCTCTTGCAACTAATATGCATCCTTCCTCCTGACTAATCTATACAAACAAATGGTAATGCCTAAGTAGACTCTAAAATTCCACCCTCACTAATCAAAGGTCAAGATGACCCCTTCCTCTTTCCTTTGCCCGTGAACGGTCATCCGCAGAACTAAACGATATATTTAACCAAAGAGCTCCATTAAATGATTAGGCATCATCGAACAAAGAAGCATTCAGCACCAATCCGGCAACGAAGCGCATGATTCTCAAATGTGGAACCAAAGAGATTCTGTTAAATGAATCAGTCAGCTGCATGCTCATGAAGGATGACCAAGAACAAGGAATTAGTACCTGCGATCTCCAACACATACTGTGGGCTTCCCATTAGGCGCGAACATGAGGAGGACAAGGTCAATGTCGCACAAGATCGATAGCTCCTTCGCTTTCTTCATCACCCCCGCTTTCCTCTTCGAGTAGGTAACCTGCCGGCTGCTGCTGTTCTCCAGTCTCTTTATCTTCAGTTTCACCCTCCCCATCGAACCCCTTACAGGCTTCTCCCCCTTCGGACGAAGAAGGCTGTCGACCTTTGGCCCCAATCCCCTCCCAGTGGTTCTCAAATCGTACAAAGCTTCGACCTTTGGCCCCAAAAATCTCCAGAAGCAATCAAGAGGAGGCGAAAATTGGAGCCCCAACAGAGATGGCAGCCACAGAACAACAAGAATCAAAAATCAAAATCAAAATCGACAATGATCCAGCGAATTCGCGGACTTCCCTCCCAAGAAGCGATTTTTATGCCTATTAATTCACGTCGTCGAAGGATCGGATTGCAATCCAGTGGAAGGGAGGGAGCGGAAAGCCAGGGTATAACGATTTGGAGAGCGAGGGAGGGAGATGAAAGAGCGGGAGGTAAGGGACAGCGAGTCCGTCCAACCGAAGCCGCTTCCCTAGGAAATCTCCGAGGTCGGTTACCTCGCCGAAACGGACCGACCCGGGCGTCCCTCCTTGGGCCGGGTTTGTTTTTCTAATTAGACCGGTTCTTTTTTGCAATGGTGAATTTTGGGCTAATTACCAATAAACCCTCGCCGTATCACTCACTATATACCATTATTCTCAAACATTATATAATATATATATATATATGTCACTATTATTAATCTCTACCATTGGCATAGGAACGTCGAAATTTCAATTTAACATTAATATTCACTAAAAAAAATTAAGAAAACATGAAGGGTCAGTAAAAATAATAAATGATATTTTTTGGTAGTCAGCTAATTGGAAGAACCAAATCCTAGTTATCAATTTTCTTCACACATTGTCCCAAACAAAATCTTCACTCTTTGATCACATTTGATTATACTATTTTGCACATCTGCACTATCTGCATACTAAAAGACACTTTGAAGAATGCAAATGATAGATGCAGGTCTCATATACCAAGATTTAAAAAGATTGCAAAACTAATCACCAAGAAGAAAGTTTACCAGCATAAAGCTTATTAATCATGACAACCATGTCCAGTGACTGGCAAAAATGCAATCACCTAAGAAAGTGATGCAACAGCCAACAATTACATCCTGCATCACCTCAAACAATTTTCTTTCAATGTTGTATACAAGCATATACGAACACTGTTTCAGCTCCGTATGTGTAAGAACAGCATGTAATTTCAGTGTTCGACGACAAGACATCAAAATAGGTACAGAATGAACAAGTATCGAGTAGCATGTTGCATCTTAGGTCTCTTCTTCCCTGCTGCACAGTGAATCCATCTTTTGCATGGGGAGATCATGAGTCACAAAGATCGATCATGTTGTATTTCAAGTCGGGATTCATGTAAGCATGAGAACAAAGTTCATATATAGGAATGCCAACGAGTGATGGGTCCTCACAAGGGCAGAATCCAAGTTCTTGACGACTGTGTGTCAGCGAAGCACCAGTTGGCCCTGTTGGGTGAAGTCCACCATAAATTCTGTTGAAAGAAATGCCACAACAAGAGACAGGTGCTAGTAAATTTTAATTTAATCTCACATTGAAAGCGAGGGAACGAATATGACTACATAGGGCTAACTAGACATATGAGAGTTCTGTTTATTTCTTTAGTTTGCTCAGTAAAGCTACCCAGACCTTATTCTTAGAAGTTTTTCCATGCCAACCTGCAACTCATCAAAACAAAAGCACAAAAATCCTGAAACATGGCAAATAAATATGCTTTATAGTACTCGTTATGGAATTGTCACAAGCATACGCCTGTAACATAGGTTTTATTTTTGTTGTCAAAAGCAACTGTAAGTCCTAAGAACTCCAATCTAAGTATCACAACTAAAAAAACTACAGCTATTTCTTAGTGCAACTAAATTTCTCCTCATTAACTAGGCCCAGGTAGTTAGCTAAACCTTTTAATACATCATAATGAACTGAACAACAAGATCAATTAAGATCAAAATTTGACAATAGAAAGAAAATCCAGATTTTGACATATGAAATTGATTTGACTGAATGCCCATTTTGCAATGGGTCATCATTCAGATTTTCTCATAGCAAGTTATTCAGAAGCAAAACGACTAAACAAAAAAAATCAGAAAACAGAAATATTAAACATAGTTTGAGTACTGAATACACACCTTGGAAAAAAGGCAAAGAAGAAGCCCGCTATCAGGATTTCATGGAGAGAGACCCTTCAAACATCATCATCCAAGTTTCCAACAGTTCTTGCCTCCGCATTAAAAGTTTATATGCAACCGTGCCCTCACTCCTAAATACAAATAAGACAAATACAAGCTTTCATTTAGTTTACTCAACTGCAATCACTGAAAAGGGTAGATATGCAAAAGTACAGCTGAGGCCAAGTAATGAGGATATCCAAATGCCATTACAAAACCTGCAAAGTATTTATGCCTGAAATTGGAGGCAGAAAACACTCCATCCCTCAATCAAATGCAGGATATTTTCTGGTAATGCACCATACCATTACTTCTCTAAAAATGAGGATATCCAAAGGCCATTACAATTATGCAAAAGTGTCACAGCAGAGGCCAAGTAATAAAATAGCTGGCAGCAGGACAGCATCTTGTTGCAATCTCTAATAGACTTGAACCAATCAATACTCATCTCCTTGTCCAAGTAAAATGACCAACAAAGAACTGTTGCCATCAAAAAGCTATGGTATGAATAAATTAAACTCAACTGTTGACAACTCTGCCAACATTTTCAGGTTCAATTTTCATGGAAGAAGGGGAGCTCAGATAAATTCCTTTCCTTTCACATTTACTGATAAACTCCTGGGCCTCTGTTAAATGGCCCATACAAAGAAGGGAATCAACGATGGAGTCATATGAATAAGAATTTGGAGTGATGCCATTGAGCTCCATTACGTGTAAAGTTTCTTTGGCTTCTTCAATTTTCCGTGCATCACATAAAGCTCTGATGAAAGCATTGTAAGTATAGATATCTGGAACGACCCCAAATCTCAACATATCATTAAAAATGTTTCGTGCTCTCTCAAGCTTTTTCATCCTACAGAAACTCAAAATGAGGGCATTAAAAGAAAAAATGTCTGGAACAATGCCTTCTGATTTCATCCTTTTAAAGAGCACCATTGACTTGTGTACATTACCAACTTCACAAAGAGAATGGATTAGTATATTGTATGTGATGGCATTTGGGGAGACACCCCATTTTACCATCTCGATAAAACAATCAAAAGCATCATTCATTTGACGCACCTCACAAAGTCCATCAATTATGGTGCTAAAAGTAACAACATCAGGCTTAAGTCCATGCTCCAAAAGCATCTTTACAATATTCCTTGCCATATTTACATCCCCAGCCTTAGAAAAGCCAGTAATCAGTGTATTGAAGGTAATGAGATTTGGAAGAAAACCCTTAGCATGCATCTTTTCCAAAGTTTCCATCGCCTTATCCATCATTTTGGATTTAACAAAGCAATCGATCAATGTATTGTAGGATACTACACTACATAGACATCCATCCACCATCATCTGCTTCAGATATTGATCAGCCTCCATTATGAGTCCTTCCTTCAACATAGACTTGACGACAATGATGTATGTACTAAATCCAGGCTTGCCACCTCTTTTAACAAACTCATCCAACATTTTGCATGCTTCAGTCAATCTCAAGCTCTTCAAGGCGCAAGCCACAACTACACCAAAAGTTAAAGTATCCATACAATAGCCCCTTTCACTCATTCTGTCCATGAACTCCCTAGCCTCAGTTGCCATATTATTCTTTGAGAGGCAATGGAGCATAGTGCTACAAGCATGTTCTTGCAGCACTGATTCTCTTTCTAAGAACCCACTTATAATCTCATATGCCGTCCGTGATTCCAAATATCGGAATGCACCATGAATCAATGATCGAAAGGTGGCTTCATTAGGTGCTACATTTCTCTTTCTCATCGTCTCAATCACCCGAAATGCCTCTTCTACCCTCTTGGCATTAAAGAAGCCATCTACCAGCATCGTGTATGTGAACACATTCGGCAAACACCCTGAATTTTCCATCTGCTTCAACAACCGAAGCGCTTCATCAACGATACCATGCTTGCAGACTCCATGAATGAGAGCATTGTATGTGAAACGATCAGGCAAGCAATTATCGGAAGGCATCTGTTGGAATTTGAAATAAGCCAAATCAAGTGAATTCGCTCTAACCAACGATTCGATGACCGAGTTGTAGACTCTCGTCGTCGGCCTAAAACCCAATATCGGCAACTGGCCGAAGACCTCATTCACATACTTTGCGAGCCCTAATCGTCCCCAGCTGGAGATAAGGATGCACAAGATGTCCTCTGTGATTCGACATCCACACTTTCTGATCTCATTCAGTAGGTCTACCGACAACACTACCGGACCTTTCCTCCAGAGCGCATCGATCAACACCATCCGCACCGACCGATCGCGCGCCAACTTCTCATCGAAATTAGAAACCCAGACGTAGAACTTAAACGAGGACAACGGTTCTTCCAGATTTTGGAGAAGGCTGACGACAACTCGGGAGCTTGCACATGGCGCATAGCGTTGGAACTCAGAGTTGAGCAACAAGAACCAATCTTTCTGGCATAGAATCGCCGAGACGCGAGCTGGGTCGAGGGTTCTCTCGGCCGTCTGCCTGACCGAGGTGGAAAGGAGCGAGTTCGTTGGGGACTGAATGACGCCATGAAAGGATCCGGATTTCGAAGGAGCGATCTGAGACTGGCCTGAGAGGCGGTAGCGGGGAGCGTTGCGCTGAGATTGGCAGCCGTCGTTGCTGGGAGTGGACCCGGTGGGGTTCCTCGCCTTGAGAAGAGTCTGCGCAGGGGACAAAAACTTGTTGGAGAGAGAGCTGCGGAGATTCGGAGGAGGAAATCGTCTCATGAGCAGCGAGTGATTTCCTTCGCCGTCCCAAGCAACCTCGACGGCTCGGAGATGGGAAGCGCCTGCGAACTGGTAGGGCAGCGGAGCCTTTGAGAAGAAGGCGCGGCCGGCGGGCCGAAACACACAAAGATCGCTACCCATTTATTCTGAGCCCAATATGGGGCAGTTGGGCTCGGGAATCGGGCCCGACGAAATCTACTGTAAAGACGCGTGTACTAAAAAAGGAAAGCGTAAAGCATGTGGGATGGGTTGTACGGCTTGTCGTTGAGGAGGTGACACACAATAAGATCAGGTGGGATCGGCAGCCCCATTTCAAGAAGCAGCAAAATGTTTGATACATCTAAACATACACATTGTTCATTAAGATGACATAATCTAAAAAAGAGTTAATTATAATGAAATAGACCATTTTTATCCCATCTAAAACGGGGTGCATACCAAGCACTAGAATTAGATGGTCCTGTAAACAAGAAAGGAGTAACCACATGGAAAAACCAACCAGATTTTAGATCATTAACCCTCCCTCGTATAAATAATTTGAGAAACGAACCAAAACATCAACCAGATTTTTAGGATCACAATATCCTGTTTTGCACCAGTGTTCCATGGTCCTTTAAAATAAGAGTCTAAACACAACAGAACAGATAACACGAGAGTGAGAGTTCCAACCACAACTAAGAATCCGAGAACCATGGGGCAGGTAGAGCGTTCGAGTTCTTATGGTTTAGACCACCACATGGCCTCAAAGGCGCAATCCTACTACTTGATGTATTGGGAAACCCACTTGAAGCCATCGCCGTAGCCCATCTTGCGCACGATGCTGCACATGAAGACCTCAAGGGGGCGGACGTTGGAGTCTGTGAGATTCACCTTGCCCTTTCCTGTTGTGAAGTTGTTCAGGCCTAGATGGAACCTCAACTCGTCCTCTGATGCTGCATATGGAATGTCGATTTTGTTGCCCAGGATGAGGAAGGGGACATTTGCCAAGGAATCATCAGAGAGAAGTGCATCCAGTTCCTTCTTTGACTCTGCAAACCTCTCCTTGTCATTTGCGTCCACCAGGTATACCACTGCATCCACCTAATCAGACAACAGCCAAAATACACCATTTATAATAATTTACAAAAGGACCTAGAGAAGAAGCTCGTCAAAATCATAAAAGGAAATGCGAGTACGCACAAACTATCTACAAATATTGCAATTAAACAACAGAACAGTTTCCCAACTTCACAAGATCATTGTAACTCTGAAAATGTCATGCAAGAAACCAGAGCTAGAGATACTGACAAGCTTAATGAACCAAGCAGGTGCATCATCAGATCAGGAATTTAAGCATGGCTGCAGGCCTGCAGTTCCAACTATATATGGCATCACAGTATATGCAACTAGCAAGGCTAGTTCTAGTTGATTATGAAATTGATACAGAGTGTAGGAAGTACAGCAGAAATTCGATGGTGATGCATAACGATAACAAACATAATATGTAGTCTGCGTAATGGTCAAGATGCAATTTTCTGAATATGTAAGACAAAGAAGAATATAGAAGAAACATGTAACAAGAACCTAAGACTTGATAGTATTACCTGGATTACACGTACATAGGCAAATGTGTAGGGACGTATAGTGTAGCCCTTATATTAGTGAAGAATGAAGAATATATTCAAGGAAAAACTAATATACTCCTTAAACTGAAAGAGACTGATGCATGCAGAATTTGATAGTGCATCAATATGCTTTTTACAAATCTAATAGCAGGTCTGATTTCCCAATTGTTTTTGCTCGCTGGCATTGACAGGAAGTGCTCACCCAGAAGTACCTCAGATGACTAGGACCAGTCACATAATGAATTTGGCCAGAAGTTTTCGAACAGGACTTATGAAACACCTCTTGGCTTAGCCATATTGTTGGAACCTGGAACCCAGGGCAAAGTCTGTGGAGACAAGAAGAACACCATGGCACCACTGGCTCCTAAGGGTTATGAACCCTGCCTGTCCAACAATCAATGAGAATTGACCAATGTTCCTTTCACTTGTATGGATCAATGAATGGTTCCCCCTTATTATGTTTATGGAATAGAAGGAATAGATCAATAGAAGCTAGACCAATAAAAACAACATTCTTTCAAATGTTAAATTTAGATCAATGAAAACAAATCCGTAAGGTAATTATCTGCCTCCGTGTTGGTCAGAAAATAGTCTAATGCTGTCAATTTGCATTGTTAAGTTAATCAACACTTAGGACCAGTTGGTAGAATCAATTGGTTGTCAGATTAAAACATGGAACAGTATAATCGAAAAGGAGTCATTCGCCAAATAGCTGAATCTCTACCAAATTAACTTGCATCATAGGCCCCATGAAACCACTATCAGATTTTGAAATGGTTGTGTGATCTATATATTCGTATTGCATTTCTTTTCTGCCAAGACAATATCATCTTCATGAAACCCATTCTCACGACACTCATAAAACTCCACCCTCTAAATTTCAACAACATCTACTGTAATGGAACACAACTGAAGAGAGCAACTAGGCCAATCAGATTTGTACATCTCCTGGTGTGGATGAGATTTAACTATCAGAAAAGAAAGACCTTAAAAGAACCTTCTCCTAGTAAGAAATAAAGGATAATGAAAAGGACAGATAAATGCTTTAAACAGGCCATTGTCACGCAATAATACGTGAGACAAACATATTGAAAAAAGTGACAGACCTTAGCGTAGTAATCCTTCCAGACACGTCGTGCGATCTGATGGCCTCCCAGATCGAAAGCCTTGAACTTGATCTTCCCGATGCTCAGCTCCTCCGACGTCGGATACTGCGTCGGCTGGTGCTGAACTAATCTCTGCATTCAAACAAACAAATCCAACCAACAAGCCCTCAGATCAACTGATTAAGCAAAATCGAAAAGAAAGTCGTGAAGGAACCGACCTCATCCTTGAGCATATGAAGCAGCGTGGTCTTCCCAGCGTTATCGAGTCCCAAGAACAAGATCTTGGCCTCCTTCTGCCACAGACCAAGGGAGGCGAGGACCCCGTAGAACCAATCTACGAGAAACATAGCGGCCGGGGAGGATTTCGACAAGGCAGAAGGACCAGATCTATCGAATCAAGGCGCGATCTCGTCGGGATCCCGCCGAAGAGATCAGATCCGGCGGACGGAATCGGTTCCGAGTCCGAGATCTGGGAGCGGAACGCCGAAAGGGATCAATGCGCCTTTGATGGGACGAGAGAAGAGACGAAATGGAACCCTAATTAGGGAAGGTAAGCTTGGAATCAGAGGAAAGGGGGAGGAGAAGGTGAAGCGCGGACGGTCGCCTCCACGGTCGCGAACAGAGTATATATTAGTTTATTTCGGGCATCTTTGTAGTTGCTGAGTTGGATGCGGGTTATCGGGTCGACGGGTCATGGGATCCATGCATTGCTACTTATTATTTTATTACGAGTAAAATATAATATATATATTATATATTTATATATATTTACACGGTTATTTTTCTAGAAAATATCTATTTTTTGGTTTTTTTCAAAAGTACCCCTCTTTTATTTTTCTCAAATAATAACTCTAATTTTAAAATACTCAAAATACCCATTAAAAATATTTTCATCAATTTTATTTGCTCATCAATAATAACACTTATAATATCTTATTGATATACTAAAAACACTACAAATGTTATTGAAAAATGACTTCATATCATATCTCTTTATTTTTTGAGATTATAGTTAATCTGAGTTGGGTTAGAAATATATTTATATCATTTATAAGATTTTCAAGTACATTTTATAGCTATGGCCAATTCATTGTAATAATCCAAAAACATCATGAATTTTTTAAAAAAAATAGTTTGATTATTTTTTAAATTAAAGATATTGTTTGAAAAAAAAAGTAAAATAGGTATATCGATTGAAAAATACTCAAAATATGAATATTTTCTAAAAACTAATGTAATATATTGAAAAGCAAAAAATCCATTCAACTAAAGCATAGTTAGCATATAATCATCCCATCACATTCTAATTAGCAAGCATGATGATATTCCTCTAAATATTAGAATCATATCTACATCACTAAGTTACACATAATAAACAGAATTTATATAAATTATAATATAAAGTAGCTTAAAATTAATACTATCATGGTTAAGGTTTTAAAGAATAATAATGTAATTATAAATTTAATATTTTAGCTATATTATGTGACAAGAGATTGAATTGCATACCAATATTGACAAAATCATAACATTCACATTAGAACTAATCCTTATAATATAATCTCCTAAAGCCTTCAATCTCCAACATCATGGTTTCTGATTATTAATATAATGAATGACCTCTAAGATATCTTATTAATATTTATTTTATTTTTATTTTGTTTATTTTATATATATATATATATATATATTCTGTATGATTTATTTACATTCTTATATAGACCCTCAATATTCTACACCCATCAGGCCTCCCCTTGCATTCTTAATTATATATTCTATAATCAAGTTTGATATATAAAGAACCATCAAGTAATTTATCCTTTTTTTCTCTTAAAATTATATTTTTTTATTTAGTCTTATGAAAGGATATGATAAATAGTATAAATCAATATTAATTCTGTCCATTTGTAATGTGAAACTAATCAAGGTATTATAATTATACTTATTAGATCTTTATAAATTAATCTTAATCTTCACGGATGTTATACCTTATATCTTAATTTTAATTTACAAGGAATCATCAAGTATTTTATCCTTTTATCTTTATTTTTCCTTAAAATTAAGTTTTTTCTATTGAGCCACGAAAAGGGATAAGATAAATAGTATAATCTTTTATGACCACTAAGATTTTGTAACAAATAGAGAAATATTTTTCTATTTTATCATAAAAGATGATATTATTTCTACTCAAATAAATATTTGTTACATAATTTGAAAGTCAGAGGACACACTAATTCTTTTTTAAAGAAACAAAATAATGGGAATAATAACAGAGAAACCCCATCAGCCTTTGAAAAATAGAGGTTGTATGAACCCTCCAAAAGTTAGGAAGTATGTACCACAACATTATTGCATAAAAATATTGAGTAACAGCAAGGTCATGAACAAGTTTCTTAATATCAAAAATGATGGTAAGAACAAGCTCCATAAATAGATGGGATATTTCATGATCAAATGGAGAAAAAAAGTGAGCAAAAAAAGAACAAAAACCTGTCTACAACAACAAATAAAGTTCTTTCTCTTTATTTTCTTCTTATCATAAGATAATATATATATCTGTAATCTGAATTCATGTATTATCACATGAGAACTTAGAGGCCTAATGGTAGATCATGCAGACATTTATCTTCTCAAAGGTTTGCCTCATGGGAATTGCCCATATTATTCTCTCTCAAACTGATACTGTTAAGAGCTTCATAGACTGAGATAATAGATATCTGTAATCTGAATTCATGTATTATCACATGAGAACTTAGAGGCCCAATGGTAGATCATGCAGACATTTATCTTCTCAAAGGTTTGCCTCATGGGAATTGCCCATATTATTCTCTCTCAAACTGACACTGTTAAGAGCTTCATAGACTGAGATAATACAAGGTTATCAGTGTATTATCAACACCGGAGATTCAATTACTTTTTTATATTTTCTCTATTTCTAGAATGCTAATCACATATTACCTTTTATATTTGTACATATTAGTATAATAATTTCTATACTTAAAATTTTTAATTTTTATAATTCTAAAAATAAAATAAATAATTTTATTTATCTTAACGGCGTCAACTACATTGACGAAAAATACAACACTTGACATCACATACTAAATTGATATAAAATTATTTTTTTATCAATATAATCATTAAAAAAAATTAAATTTATTTTTTGATATCGATTCATGATGTTATGTGTTATGATTTTCGTTAATGTAGTTCTTGTTTTATTTTCAGAATTATAAAAATCTTAATATAATTTTTTTTTAAGTATAACGATCGTGATGATATTAGTAAACGTTGATTGGGAATTGATATATACACCCTGATTTCACTTAAGTGCACCGCGTTTTGCGGCGCCGTAACCGCTGGTGAGCGTATCATATGAAATTTATCGCGTATGTTTATCTTGGGGTATTATGATAGTGTTAAAGGCTATTTACGTCCATAAAGATTTGAAGCCGGACTTTTAACAGCCGAACCTTTGGACGTCCTCCCGGCCGCCCCCATTTCCCCTCCTCCTCTCTCCCTCCGAGGGCAGAACCCTAATACGATGGGTCGGCGCATGTATGGATCCTGACGATGAGAAGATCGACGGCTGTCATCAGGCCGCGCCTCGCCGCTGCAGCCTATAGCCCTACCCGCTGTTCCTCCTCCTCCTCTAATTCGGCCTCCATCTCTCCTCGAGAAACCCCGACGGTTGATTCTTCGGATCCTTTGTCGGAGCTCTCATCCGTCCTCACCCGTTCCAATTGGTTAGATGACCCCCGCCTTCCCCGCCTTGCGCCGTCCCTTACCCCTCACCATGTCGCCGCCCTCCTCCGGTCCCGCCCCCTCGAACCCCGCGTCGCCCTGGGCTTCTTCGACTGGATCAGCCTTCGCCCCGGCTTTCGCCACACCGTCGATACCTACTCCTCCCTCCTCCAAACCCTCGCCCGAGCCAATCTGCCCCCCCGCCGTGCCGAGAAGATCGTCATTTCCATGATCAAATCCTGCTCCTCCGCCGTGGAAATCCACTCGGCCCTCCAATCATTCAAATCCCTGAATCAAATAGGTTTCTTCCCGAGTCTCCGATGCCACAATTTTATGATGATGAAGTTCGCTAGGTTCCAGATGATTGCCGAGATGAAGGACCTGTACGAGCAAATGCAAAAAGATGGGATCTTTCCCAATCTTCATACCTATAACACAATTATTAATGCCCACTGCAAAGAGGGAAACATTATCGAGGCTAAGGTCTACTTGAACTACTTACTGCAAGCCGGGCTGGACCCAGATTCCCATACGTACACCTCGTTCATCTTGGGGTATTGCCAGAGTGATGATTTTGTTCGGGCCTGCCGGGTGTTCCTGTTAATGCCACTGAGAGGCTGCGCAAGGAATGAGTTCTCATATACTGTTCTTGTTCATGGGCTCTGTGAAGCAGGGAAGGTGAAAGAAGGTTTATCGCTGTTTTCATTGATGGATAATGATGAGTGCTCTGCGGATTTGCACATTTACACAGTGATGATTGGTGGACTCTGCAAGTTGGGAAGGGATGTTGATGCGAAAATGATGCTGAATGAGATTTCACAGAAGGGTCTGGTTCCGAATGTTGTTACTTATAACGTTCTGATTGACGGGTACTGCAAAATCGGGAAGATTAACGATGCGTTTGGTGTATTGGATTTGATGGAGTCCAATGGGTGTAAACCAAATGTTAGGACTTACACAGAATTAATTTGTGGGCTTTGCCGCAATAAGAAGGTGCACAAGGCCATGGCTTTATTAACTAAAATGCTTGAGGATGGGTTGCTGCCAAACCAAGTAACCTACACTTCGTTGATTCAAGGACAATGTATGGAGGGTGATACAAATAGTGCCTTTAGGTTGCTCAGTTTGATGGAGGAGAAAGGCATGGTTCCCAACGAGTGGACATACTCAGTTTTGATTGGTGGCCTTTGCAAAGGTGGAAAAACTGAAGAAGCTATATCATTCTTTAGATCCCTATCCCAAAATGGCATGAAGGTCAATGAGGTAGTCTACACGACATTAATTGATGGATTATGTAAGGCTGAAAAGATTGACATTGCTCATTCATTGCTGGAGGAGATGATCTCGGAGGAATACATACCAGACTCTTACACCTATGGTGCTATAATAAATGGTTTGTGCAAGGATAAGAAGTTGCAGGAGGCTAGGTCCTTGTTTGATTCTATGTTAGAGAAAGGAATCCAACCAACAGTTGTCACATATACCATTCTCATTGATGAATTGATCACAGTTAGTGGGTCTGCAGAAGGAGCAATGGCTTTGGAGCAAATGATTTCTTCAGGTTGCAAGCCTGATGTATTTACTTATACAGTCCTTGTGAAGTCATATTGTAAGGAAGGAAGGTTAGAAGAAGCTGAAAGTTTGATGGTTCAAATGCAGAGTAATGGGATTGCCCCTAACACAGTCACTTATACCACATATATTGATGGATTGGTCAACATGGGTTTGTTTGATCAAGCTTTTTCTACTTTCATGACTATGGCTGAAGCTGCATGCGAGCCCATTGATGAAACTTATAGCATATTGCTCAAACTTCACTTAAAAAAGAAACAGGTTGATGGTTACTTTATAGATGCTAATCGCATGTGGGAGAAAGTGAGTTTGGATGTTGTCCTAGAACTCTTTGAAGAGTTGGCTAAACAGGGTTTTACCCCTACAGTGAAATCTTACAGTTGCTTTGTGAAAAGTTTTTGCAAATTGGATCGGTTGGAAGAAGCCAAATCTTTGCTCTTTCACATGCAAGAAGCCTGCAAAGTCCCCAGTGAGGATATCTATACATCCCTGATTAGTTGTTGCTGTAGACTAAATAAGTATTTAGAAGCTTTGGCATTTATTGATTCCATGATTTCATGTGGATTTATGCCGTGTCTGGCATCTTACCAAGTTCTGCTTTCTGGTCTTTGTGATGAAGGAAGCCTTGATGAAGCTAAATCAGTCTTCACTAGCTTGCTTTCTAGAGGCTATAATTGTGATGAAATTGCATGGAAAATTCTCATTGATGCATTGCTTCAGAAAGGCCATGTCGATATGTGCTCAAACTTTTTGACTATAATGGAGGAAAACCATTGTGCTCCTAGTCCTGAGACATACGATAATTTGACTAAGGAACTTTCTTGTATAGTTAATGACGATTGATGTATTATTGAGGCCCCTAATGATCAATTCTGACTGGTGGATGGCTTTAAAGCAAATCTTACTATCTTCAACAATTGGATTAGCTCAGATGCACGATGCACGATGCACATTGCCATTCACTCCATGATAGAAGTTGTGCCCTGAATTCTGAAATGTGCATATCTGCTCTCTGAACCCATAAGCTCCAAGGTTTGGCCCTCCTATACGTGTTTTTTACAAGAATCAAATTGCTTCTTATTCACTTTATTCTTTTGTTATTCTTGTTTCTAATTTTTTATTCATATGATTTGGGTTTTTATTCTTTGACTTGCAATTTTTCCTTTTTTTTGCAAGTTTGGGCTATAAAGTTGACTTCCTACTCCTTTTTCTTCGGTTATCCATAATACTGAAGATATGGATCATCATCATGCTGGGATGAAAGAGAAATCAGCCACATCTGGGCTCAAGGAAAAAAGTGGAAGGAAAAATCGGCTTACATGAAGCAAGCAAACACGGATTAGGAAGTATGTCAGTGGTTGAGGAAGTATTTTGGAAATTGTCACCATGTAGCTCGAATGCAATTGTCACCCCAATCAGGCCCAGACACTGACTCTCCAGACCATATGGGACTGTTGATAATTTACTTGGCTAGAGAAAGATCACCCAGTTTAATCTGTGTAATGTACATGGACTTGATGCCTGATGCACACGTTGCGTTCTTCAAAAAGCAGGTGCCTGTAGTAGCATATGTTGTGAGATATATGTTGCAGAAGAATATTGCAAGCAAGCTGTGACATAATATTTGAGTGAGAAAGACAACCTGAGATTTAAAATTTGTGTGGCCATGCAGGGTCTGCATCAAGAATAGCACTTCTTGCTCTTTGATTCATGTGCAAGTTGCTAGGTCGAGCTCCAGCTCCTGAGATGTCTATAGAGGATGATTACAAGGTGTTGGTAGATGATGGAAGTCTTGATTAGTTGGAGTTTAGGATGCCACACAAGCCTACGGAGATGGAGATCATGAAGTCACAGTAGGGAAAGGTTCTTTTGATTGTAGCCGAGTCTCCAATAGATATTGATGAAATGGACCATCAAGTCAACATTATTGCTTTGGTTACATTACAAAGTGCTTCTTATCCCTGAGGACCATGGTCTATATTGCTGCTGTACCAGACAATGTGAAATCATCAACTCAATTGAGTTTTTCTTTCTTTTCTGTAAGAAATATTCATTCTAATTGAACATCCTAAATAAGATATTTGAGTCATCAGGCTCCTGTTCCATGCCACATTGTTCCACTTCTATTGTTTTGATGATTTTGTGAAGCCTTCAAGTTCTGCCTTTGAAGTTACAAAAATGTATTGCTTCTGTGTGCCTTGCACTCTTATTTTAGTTTGCACCTTGGCAGATAATTACAACCGAAAGCTGGAGTGTGTTTCTGTTTATCCTATGATGCTCCTGTGAGGTTCAATCTGAACCAAAATTTGTGCATTAATTTCATTATGATGATATTTTTTGGTAATAAAACATGATCTTTTGATTGAATATGCAGCTAACGAGGCATTGGAACAAGGACTGAAGAATTAAGTGTCCATCACTAGAACTGGGCATGAGGTAACTCTGATCATGGCTTGCTCCTTATACACCTCCTCACATGTTACCAAGATTCAATTGTTAAGTAGCCCTTATTTTACTCGTAAAAGTGGCTGCAGTCAGATAGACTAATATATTAATGTTAAGCTGGTAATACCTTTTGCTGTTTTGCATTTCTTTGAAGCAGGTGCTTACTGGACTAATACTGAGAGATATGACACATCAAACCTTTGCTAAACTTTGGACATAATGATTTGATCATAAAGTCCATCTTGAGAACAGAATTCAATCGAAGATCCTCTGCGATGGGAATAAACATTTTGGTCCTTTTTTAAGAGGAATGCAGCATGTTTCAAAGGTACAAGGAACACTGGTCAAACCGATTGCTTCAGAACGCACTGCTTCATTTATTGTTTTATAAGCCTTGTTGCTTATCAAGAATGTGCCATCCAGACCGATAGAAGTTGGAAGGTGAATGTGGCTGTGCCTACAACAATAATTCCTGTGTCATCTTCTCTTGGGTGTCAGACTAACCTGGTCCGGGAGCAGGACCCGAAAGTTATAGTTGACACTTCTTTTCCTCATTTAACATCAGAACTAGACACTTCTTTTATAAGAAATGATGTCTATATGTGAAGCATGTTTCGGAACCTATCTTATATGTAAAGCTTGACATCCCCACCTTCCTGAAGATGATCTGGCCACATCAAGGTACCATTGCTTCATCATCTTTTTTTTTTTTTTTTTTTTCTTGTTCTTCTTTACACTGCTCCTGTAACAGCTGCCATCTCTTGCAGAAGGGCTTTGGGTCGACATACTGGTTGCTTTGAGCATATGCTCGACCACATCAGCTCATCACCATCATCACTGGTTGACCCACCAGCTTTGGGGGTTTTGATCAAGTCAAGAAATAGTCATAAAAGTTTGTAATGGTGGATCAGATTTATAAGAGCTTAAATCTTCCTTGTGTATCACATTATTTTGTGTGAATAATCACTTATAATAAAGAAAAATGTTCCGCGGAAGCAATCCCAGAAAACTGGTGGATCAGGTTTTCTTTTTCTAAATTTCCCCCCCTTTTTTTAGGGAACCAGAAATTAGTGGAAAGTCGAAATAAAAATCATTTGGTGGATGCGGAAACATTTTTTCTTTGGAATGTCTCTCATCATATATATCGACAAAGTCAAACATGGGTATCGATAAGGGACTCAGGGTCAAACTGGTTGACTAATTTTGCTCAAGAATGTCATCCTTCAAAAGTCTAACATGTGTATCGAGAAGGGATCATGGAAGTTTGTTATTCTCATAACATAAAAGTCGACAGTCAAACATGGTATGTTATTCTCATCACATAAAAGTCGACAGTCGAACATGGTGGGTGCCAGCGGTCCGAGGATTTGACCTCAATCTGTATTTTAAGTTCCAATCTTTAGGAGGGAGGTTGTATTAGATTTTCTTCAAGTAATAGAGAGTTTTACATTCCAAAAAAAAAAGAAAAAAATGCATGTCATCACAAAGTGGAGGCTAGAGATGAACTTTCATGAGGCAAGTCACCATCTTGTTGTTGTGGAGGCAACAAAACCATGTCCATAATGCAAGGGATTACAAGTGCTCAACTAGGCGGTATAAGCATTTCAAGCTCCAAATAAAACCAATCACAACAACAAATTTCAAGTTGAAACTAAAATTAATCACAACACCAACTAAACTTTGGAATACAATTCACGACAGACAGTCGTATAAACTTAATCCGGGTACAGAGGTTACTGGTAATCAATGTGTCGTCAACATATACACATCAATTGAAGCCCAGCATTGGGCATCATCAAGCCCACACAGTCACCATGGATGGTAGCTCAACAAAAACAATGAGCATTGCATCATGAGACCACTGGGCAAACAAATTTCATCTTTAGCTAGACAGGAAGGGGCTCCATTCTCTCTCTTCAAGTATGGAGGTGGATCCCTTCCATGTGTGATTTCTTTCTACTATACATAATATAACCATCAAGAAAAAAATGAAAAAAGATATGTTGATATAGTCAATGAAGGACATGTGACTTGGCAGCATGGCGGGAGCATTGGGTCCGAGGACTCTTGATCAGGTTGCAGGCACAGCCCTCCAGAAGCTCAAGATCTTCCTCGAATGTCAATATGGAAGCCATTTCTGGATTCTCCAACAGCAATTTTGAAGCCAGGAACCCAGCAATTGTCCATGTTTGATAAAGCCGTGATTGCTTTCCGATAAATCTGCCAGTTGGAGTATCATAGTATTCAGGCCACTTGTCGTTTGAAAGTCGGTTCTCAGCTATGGTAATTGCCTTTCGGGCCAATTCAGGCCTGCCCATTTTGATGCAAGCCGACGTGAACTAGAATATCAAACAAACAAAGCATTTAGTAAAATGCTCGAGGAAATAGAAGATACAGAGTGCTCATCGTAAAACTTCCGTACCTGCCACAGCAAAGTAGGCCATGATCCACCATTATGATATGACCAGGGCCTGCAAAATTCAACATTATTGTTAGGAAAAAAAAAAAGAAAGAAAACCTGTATATAAAAATATGTTTTCTTCGCTGATAGAAAAGGAAATAGTATGACAGTTTAACTCACAACTACATCCTAGATTTTCTATCTCCCAAAAGAAGTCCTAACAATGAAGCATATTGATATTAAGTTCCATAATATAATTTGTGTACTTGTATTTCAACATACATTTCAATAAAGCCCTGAGTAAGAACTATTAACCAAAAAATTCATAAAAAGCTTCAGCTTGTTTGTATGTTTCACAAAATACTGTTCACACTGATCAATATAGAGGGGCATATAGTTTCAAAATCACATAATACTAAAAAGGTCATGCTGGGTTAAGAACTTACGTATTCTTTGGATCACTCCCTGTAATTATGCGCCATTCTTCGTACTCTAAAGCAGGATAACATATCTTCAGTGGCATATTCCCAACAAGGTCATCCCATTTTTCTTCAATAAGATCGAGAATGCCCTCAGCTTGTCTTGGAGTGGCCAAAGATGAGACAATAGCCCATAAATTACCCAGCGAGAAGAACCTAAAATCCATGTGGGCTGGCTGAAGATTCCCAATAAAGTAACCACCTTTTTCAGGAACCCAATCCACTAGCCAACCAGGGATTTGCTCAGGATAGATGTTGAACTTGTTAATTGCATCTTGGGAATATTCTTCTGTCTTGTAACGATAAATCTCATTGATCTTCTTCATATCCACCCAATAATACTCTCTGATGTGGAATGATAGGGCACTGAGTCTGTTATTAATAGCACGCAGCAGGCTCTTTGATCCATCATTGACGGCAATCATTTCACGTGAGCAACGCAAAGCACAGTAGAACAAAGCCTGTATACTATAAATTGTCAAGCACATGTATATAAATAATAATTTGATCATATCAAGCAATCTCACTCATTAAATCTTCAGAATTTCTACATATCAGAATGCAAGTTACCCAGCAAACAAGCAGAACTAAGATGTTTGACTATTGACTAAAACCTAACACGGATTCAGGTTGGTAGTCATTGGCAGTCCCTAGTTGGTCATGCATAGTAGAAAGAATACTCCAGAGCTGTGTAAATAATTGACATTAAATGTTCATAAACACTGTTTCATTTTACACTCAGCTTAGTTTTAACCGACAAAGATATAATTACAGTTAGTTTAGCTGTGTTTGGCACAAATATATCATGGTCAACTTGGTTTAAAGGCATAGTATATAATAGTTATCTTCTAGATCATATTTGTACTTTGTCCATACATGCAACATAAGATGATCTTCTGTGAAATTAAGTCAGGTCAAACGCAAGTTTATTTTCCTACTAAAACTGTCGGTTATCTTAAGTGGGCAAATTTAAAAGTAGGTTACAACTGCAGCAATCAACAAACTCTGTTCACTTTAAAATTTGAATGTAAACTAATGTTTAATAGAAAGTATGGAAAATGACATGACAATCCCACATTATCTTGTTGAAGGATTTACTTTATTTTTGGGCTACCCAAGGGCATAAATGTGCTTTGTGATTCATGATTGTTACCAAAAAAGAAATAATAAAAAATGACCACATATCCTCTTTTTTCTCCTTATGAGAAAGGACTCTTCCATGAGCTTCCTCATTATAACATTGATTGTTTTGCTGGTCAGAAGGTTCTCTTATAATATTTAAATGCACAAAAGAATAAGAATCACCCTATTACTTGTTCTATGGCTAATTTAATAGTGTCATTTTAAGAAAGCAAAACCTTGTCTTGGACATTTTAACTTAAGAGTACTACATGACAGGTTTTATTTATTTTCTAAATAAACCTGCCAATAGGTTCAGGAATACCTTTCACAATGAATTGCAAGCCCAACAACAAAACAACAATACACATGTGAAAATAATTCTTACGAACCAGAAATAAAAGAAATATCTGATAGCCAAACTGAAAGCAAGCTACTCCAAACTTGCTAAAAAAGAAAATGCATCAGAACTTAACTTACTTGGATTTCAAGAGGATGTCCATGAATGCCCATTCGTCGATCTATCATGCAAGAGCCATCGGTGACAAGGAGAGTAGGAAACATGTCAAACCCATCAGATAAGCATAAATTCAGGATAAGTTTGATGCCAGTTTGCACATCCACTCTCTCCTGTAATGTATAGTCCCCAGTAATCTTTCCATAAGCTCTTAGCAAGATAATCCACCACAAACCTGTCAAAGAAGACCATGAGATCTAAATGCCTTTAAGAAATTACTACTATTCCAGAAATGTACCACTCCAGAAATGTTCGACAGGCTCACCAGAATCTACTGGAGCAACACGTCCAATTGCTGATTCGCCAAAATCAGGGTCCAGCATCTCCTCAACTTCATCCTTACTTACATCCAGAGGAACACTTCTGACCTTAAAGCTTGCCGGCATCAGCCCTTGTCCAGGGCTGTAGCAATCCACAGTCTTTTCCCAACTCTATATATCAAGAGAACATACTCAGGTTTGAATTCAAATCATGCAGACAAATCTTGTCAGAGATATCTAAGTTCATTAACTTAAACTGAAACCAGGAAACATTCAGTGCATTGTCTTAAATTCACATACAAACAAGATAGTTTGTGTAGGCAACAGTCTTCAAGTTTTATGCTTCAAAGCTGATTGTAGAAGCATCTGGTTGTTATCATATTGTCATGGTTGCTGTTTCACTAGACTTTTCAGGGATGTGAAATTGGAATAACTTTGACTTATTCTGGAATACAGACTAAGACCAATAAGGACAGTTGGTATTGGCAGGTCAAGTAATCAAAATGTTCCGACAGACCCAACAACAATCATAAAAAAAAAACCATCCCCTAAAATTCAATAAACTCAACTTTGTAGCAATGTCTGATCTGATCCCGATTTTCCATTTTAAATCTTCCTTAATCACAAGATGCAACGTCGGAAAATGAGAAAGATATCTGAAGATACAGTATGAACCCTAAATTTTTGCATAACTGAAGTAGCAACTTGTGATACAATTAATTATCAAGAGAAATGAAGATCGGTTATCGTCTAAATCCACAAAGAAATCATTGAAACGAAATAACTTTTACCAAAGAGATCTACTACAAAATAATAGATGCCAAGGGGAAAGAAAAGGGGATTTTGATCCGTTTTACCTGCAACTGCAAGGTGTAGAGGAGAAAATTCCGGACGATCTCTGTCTCCCCCTTGAGGAGGAAGGCGAGGGCGGATGGCACGAAGTCGCGGATGAAGACCTGATCGTAATTGAGGGCCTCCGCGGCCGGATCAGTGGCTGCCACCGTTCCCACCGGGCTCCCACAGTACTCCACCACCGCATTCTTCAACAGTCTCCACGCCTCCTTCTCCGACTCCGAAACCTCCCGCGCCTTGGCCACCTCCGTTACCCGCTCCTCCTCCACCTCCTCAACCTTCCTCTTTTCTTCCACCACCAGCATCCGCTCCTTCTCCGCCACCCTCTCGATCACGAGGGGCTCGACGGCGGCGAGTCCCTGGACGAAGATCCGCTCGAAGGCCCTATCGACGCCAGGCACGGGCCCGGCCGCGGTGGACAGTCGGCGGGCGTCGGACACCGCGGCCTCGTCCCTCGCCGGGGCGAGGGCGGCGCGGACCAAGGACGCAGCGGATCGGCGCTGAGGGGCGAGTGAGAGGGCGGGGGCGCGGCGGCGGTCGTGGGGGCATCTGGGGAAGAAGAAGGCGGCGGCGGCGGCGGCGCGGCGTTGGTGGCAGGGGCATTCCGGGAAGAGCTGGGCGACAAGGAGACGGCAGCAGGGTCTTACGGCGACGGCGATCCCCATGGAGCCGGTTGCATTCATGACACAGACCAGGGACCAAAACCAAATCGCTACAAACTAAAAGCTGAAACCTCACAAGAACCAATCTAGGCGAAAATGAACGAAGCGGAGAAAGGAAGAAGAAACGAGATGAGGCAACGGAGAAGTGCACGCTGGGAGACGGGAGGCGTGCGTTAGTTTCTTTATAGGGCGGTGGGCGTGAGGAAAGGCGAAGGAAACGGGTGGCCAACGACAGGGAAAAAACACCAAAAAAGAAATAAACAACATCAATAAGACTCGAGAGAATTAAAACATGTGGAAGAACCACCGATCTCCACGGCACCGTCAGCAACCGCGCTAGTATTTATCGACGGCGATGAATCGTGAGACGTGGAAATGCTGCGGCGCGGGGGGAGGGGGGAAGGGAGAGGATCTCGGGGTGGGTTGTGGATAAGGCTTGTCGGTTCTGACGTGGCGATGTGGCACCAACGGGTCGCGCCCTTTTTCCATTTCCATTGCCTTTGGGCAGCGACCGCGTCAATGAACCGGGTGCGCTTTTTTCGTGGCCTCCAGTGTCCGAGGACCATTCTCTTGTCGCCACGTGGTGGGAGAGGAGGAGAGGGAGCCTTTCACACACCTGCCGTGGCCAAGAATAGTAGCACCTTTTTCACGGCCGAAAGGGATGCGTCGGTTGGCGGATAAGCTTGACTCGTAAGCTTGTTTTTGACTCGAATCAAAGTAGGCCACTAATTTCTCTTGAGCTATGCTATAAAATAAAATAAAATTATATATACGAAAAGTCATCATTACCTACTCGTTTTTCTTCCAGAAACTTGGGTCCGTCAAACTGAAAAAGGACGATGCACATAGGAAGAGAGTTCCTGCCATTGAACAGATCCAAGAAAATGAAGTGACAGAGAAAGTTCAAATGAAACTTCCAAGAATCTTTCTTACCTGGGAAGAACGAACGATCCAAACTTGCACTCTAAGCTTCTTCGCTTATGACTCCAAGCAACATATTGCGTTAGGGCAGGGATATCGAGATAGAGAATTAGATAGAACACTAAGTCACTCGACAACTCATCAGAGCATGAATAAAGAGTTTTTAAGGCTGACCTGTTTCTACTCGAATGCAGTAGGTCTTTGCTTGCAGGTTGTGCCCACCATTGTTGATCGGACAACCACCAGGCATCTCAGCTTCTCCTGGGCTAATGCAAATAGCACAAGTACAATATCAAGTTTGATCATAGTGTGAGTCTCGATAGATAGACCATTGCGATGAAGAACATATAATGATGTAGACTTTGCAGACCTTTGGCACAACAAATGTTCAAATTTAATAGTTTACTTGATCAAGAAATAGATAAAGCACACGGTTGGGTACAGAAATCAACTCAATTGTTCATAAGCACTCATCCCCATAGAAAACATTGCATGCAAACCCCTCGACTATAAGAGTCGAGGCATGCTCAAGGTTGAGGTGATGCATCAAAATCACATTCTATCTTCCCTTCTCCGTGGCGCGCAAGTGATAATCTCGTCAACCCTCAATATCATCTCAGCTGCCTCGGTTGCTGACAAAAGAACAGCTTGCTTCACCTTGAAGGCCTCTGATATCCCTAGCTTGTCCATATCTCCAACCTGTGTCAGAGAACAGATTTGGGAGATTCAAAATGAAATTAAGCATTGGCTTAGCACACAAGAACAAGTATGCACGATCCTGTTCTACTTACACCACCAGATATGATGTCAATTCCAGCGTTAGTTGTGTCCTTGTGATGCTCAGCTCGAAGCTGAGAGATAAGCTCAGCACTGTCCAGACCAGCATTGTCGGCAATGATTGTAGGTATTGCTTGGAGTGATCGCGAGAAAGCCTCAATGGCATGAGATTTCTTCCCTGGAGTCTTACGAGCAAGTTCGTCTACCTCCTTAGCCATCACCATCTCAGGCCATCCACCCCCAAGCAAGACCCTACTATCATTCACTGTCTGAGACAGCACACAGAGGGCATCGTGCAAAGACCTTTCTGCTTCATCCAGCACATGGGAACTAGAGATAATAATATAAAAATCAAGTGATTATCGATTTCATATAGCAAGTATCAGCCAAAAATCAAGTGAAAGCTACCAACACCGCTCTCAAATCTAAAGCAAAACTGAAGCCTGTCAAATTGTGTCAAAGACATACCTTGCACCTCTTAGAACAACGGTACAGGCCTGACCCATCTCAACACCAGAAAAATGAATCAATTTGTCCTCCCCAATCATTATCTCCTCAATCAGCTTGCAATGTCCAAGCTTAACAGACTCCGGGTTGTCGAAAGTTGATGCAATCTCACCACCAGTCACCAAGGCTAGCCGCTCAATTCCATCAAAGTCAGCATGCTCAATGGCAAGAATACCAGCATCTGCAAAGAGTTCCTCAGGGAAGTTATAAATCAGCTGCCTGTTGACAAAACAGTTGATGCCATGAGCTATGATTTTCTGCACTTTTTGTTTCATCTTCTCCTTTTCAGCCCCCTCGATCTCCGCAACTTTAGCCATCGAATCAACACGAACTCGAGCCCCATATATTTTGACTTTGTCAGTATCCATAGCAGTGTTTGCCACCAAAATCTTGGCATTTTCAATGTGTTTTGGTTGACCAATTCCTATTTTCTTGTCAAGAATAAACCTGCCCATGGTACCGAAGATTTCAGATATTAAGAAAACAAAGCGAAGTCTCAAGTTTCACCACTTAAACTCCGGTTTGGGATTCACAATGCTTCTTTATACTAGAAAACAAAATTCTTTAAACATGCAAGCATAAACTGCATTGCGAAAACAGCCCTACACGTACAAAGATCAGTTATTTTGAACATAATCATTAGACCATGATGTCAACAAAACACAAAATAGTGACAATCCAACCTGCAAAGGCAACAAGATTTGAATAAGTGAAATAAAAAAGTTGCAATCTCGACAAGAATAAGGAATGTGTCAAAGACTTCAATGAGTAGTAAAGAATCACCAAGAAGTAATATTTGGTCATAGCAACTATATTAAGGAAGTCATTAACAGGACAATGACCTCACAGGGAAAGAATAACCCTAAAAAAACCATATTAAACTACATAAACATCCACACAGTCACCCTCAAAACCACAAACTATTTTCAAGAAAAATAACTCTTTAACATCATCTCACAACAAAGGACATACAATGAACCACATTCACCAGTAATATATAAATTTAACATGCCAAAATGCCTATTGCTAACAGTGTAGTTGAATTTTCCGCTCAGAAACACCACTGAGCTTTAACCAAAAAAGAACTTATGAAGGGTAGTCCATCAAATTTTGCCAAAATTGTATATCCAGGTATCCACGTCTAACTTGAGTAAAGTATAAATGCAATAAGAAACTAATTATCATAATGACAAATACATGGAATCATAAACAATGGAGGAAATATTTATCCATGATTAAAACTCAACTACACATTTGAAAAGAAGTAGAATTCTTTGAGTCAAAAGAACAAGCATTTACAGATCACACGCCATGAATAATAAATCTTTAAAAAATGTAATGAAATGCCTACCCTTCATCTAGAAATGAATCTTTAAGCGAACCTCCAGCCTTCTTAATAATCTGGATAGACTCCAAGTTTGTGCTGCCCTGAATAGTTGGCAAAATACACAATTTAGAAAATAGGTTTAACTAGCAACAGAATCTCACAATCCTTTTATTAGCTTTAAAGTGATTACCTCAGTAAAGAGACAACATTACAAGAGATGTAGCATCACATCAAAGCTTACAAAAAACGTTATTAAACAGGTACTGACTAAATAAATCACTAGTCAAATCACTTTTTTTTCTCCTTACTCTCTTCATGTTTTTCTTATAATTAAGAACACATAGGAAGAACATATGTAATGAGGTCTTACTCCTTAAAACTAAAAACAACAATTTGAAGTACAGCAATACTCTACTAATTAGTATAAAATACATTGCACCACATGCAAATGTAACAATAAATATATTAAATTCATGCAAATGAAGCAAATACAATTTGTGAAGGGTCAACAGATATGGTTGTGTGTATAATACCAAACATAAAAAATCTGTTAATAAAATATGGCATGATTGTATTTTTTTCAAAGATATTAGCTCATCTCAAACAAAAAGTATAATTTTTTTATTTAATATCCATTATTATCATGCTTGTAAGGTTAAATTGATTTCAAAGCACAAAAACAAGCAAGTTTTACTTGATCTGAGTGTCAATAAATATTGCATTTGAATTATTTAGTCAATTTTAACAGATGAAAATGTGTGATTAGTTGACACTTGAAAGATCAATAAGCAAACTAAATTTTTTTTTTAGGTTCCTTGTATTTTTCAACCTTATAAAATTGACAACCATTGATGTCATATAGATCCCTGAAAAATACTTATTTTTATAAATCCTTTAATGGTTAATATCTCATTGCCAATGGCAAAGGCATGCCATTGATGCTCATCATCTCTTCATTTTATCCCTGCAAATCCTCATACAATAAATTACTTCTCAATCCATGATAAACAAGGTGGATCTTTCCACAGAAACATTTCTTACATAGAGGCATTGCATAATTCGAACAACTGTCTTACAGAGTAGGGGAGAAAAGAAAATGCACCTCAAAGTCAAAATGTGTAATAGAAAGTAAATCCAGAAGAATAACTATATTCAATAATGTTAATACACAATGACAACTGAAAATATGTTGTTTACAAGAAATAATATAATCATTGTAGAAAACAAGATTACTACATACCTTAAGCCTCAAAACAGCATCGACTGCTAGTTTAGCAAAATGTTCCTTGTCCTGGGAGAGTATTTTTGAACTTAAAGTTGTCATAGCAATTTTCATCAAATCTGACTTAAACTTATCTGCATCATGAAAATAGCACATAATGATAAAAAAAATGTGAAGGAATAAATATAATATGAAAATAGAAACAGGTTCACTTATCCTTCAATCTAAAAGTTACAAATTAACAACCTAAAGATAATGAGAACACCTCAGATAGCTATGTGTGCTCCCATTAAAAGTTACATTGTCAATTTGAGCATAAGCTTATGCATAACTATTTGAAGGGTTGGTCTTAGTCTGGAAAATTACACATTCAAAGTAACTGATACCTGGATCCTGTTTGTTATCCTTAGCCTTCAGCAGTAAAGCATTACGTGCACACTCAGCAGCCATTCTGTAGCCTATAAGATCATGAAAACAGAACTCTAATATAACAATAATTCAATAAACAAATAAACCCTTCCATTAGCTAATCTTTGTCCACCACAAAATATTTTAA